ATGATCATGACCATGCCTGAACACTAAATTTAACATCTAACATGTCTATATTAATACAGTGTTCTCCTTAAACCTCTAATCCTTCCATCTCCTCCCTCACTGGCACCACTCAGAGGAGACATGAGAACTCTTTGGTATAGCACCTCTAAAGCTCCCAGTCTCCTGGCCCCTTCTTCCCCTCCCTTGACCTGGAGGAAGATGTCCCTGACCACCTGCAGCAGAAGCGAATGCACCCTTCACTTAGGTGCCCTGGGCACAATTTGCTCACACTTCCTCCAGGACCCTGGTCTCTTGGGTTGTCCCCAACATCTCCCTTTCTCTGGCTACTTACCATTAACACCCAGACATACTCCAGATTCTCTCATCCTTGACAAACAAATCCACAAGACCCTTCCCTTGGCGCAAAGTCTCCCTTATTCCCTCAGCTGTAACCTTACTTCTGTCTTCTCATCAAACTTGGTTTCAAAGTTGTGGGTGCTCGCCATCGCACTCTCACTGGTCCCATCATCCAAATCTGCTGTAACAAAGGTACTCGATGGCATGGTTACCACTTTCCATGAAGTGATTCTGTTGTTGCCCTACCTGGCCATTTTCTGACTTCCTCACCTGTCCCTCCTCCTTGAAACCTCACTGCTTCCAGTTGCTTCCAGAACACCACTGCTTCTTGCTTTCCACCTACCCTCTGCTTACCCTTTTCAGCCTCTTGACATTATTTATCCTAGAGCTTGCCTTTTGCTTTGACAAATCTGCTAGAAACTAAAATATACTTACAGCCTCCCTTAGAGCTTCCTCTTCCTCTGCCCACCTCTGAAATCCTGCTGTTCTCCAGGGTTCTGTCTTCTTCCTCCTCCCTCTACTGCTCATTCGTGGTCACAGCTGCAGTGCTCTGTGTGATGTAGGGACATTCCACAGGCATCTCACACTCCACATGTTGCAGCTGAAAGGCAATGTCTTTCTCCCAAAACTCATTGTTTTCCTGGGTCTCCTTCATCACATCATAATCCTAAAGCAGAAATCTGCACGTCTTCCCAACCTCTCTCCTCTCCCACCCTGTCATCCAAACAATCATTAAGTTCTCTCAACTCTACTTCCATTGCTTCTGCCCTACTGTCATAAGTGTCCACCAGCGTCTCTCTCTCCTGACACTGCAACGCTCACCTATATATATGTTCAGCCTGCCTCTGGTCAGGATATGTCAGTAGCTCCCTTCTGCTCACAAGATACACTCCAAATTCTTTAACAGGACTTCAAGGCCACCAAGGATCAGCCACCACCTGTGTCTCCATCTCCTGCCACTTTCTCCAGGCATTCAGTGCTTTAACCAGACAGAATTCCTTGGCATTCCTGTTGATGCTAAACTTCCTCCCCTTCCTGGCCTTTGCACACTCTGTTCCCTGCTGAGAACACTCTTCCCCTTAAGACCCTGCTCCTCTTCAGGCTAAATCTGCTCAATCATCAGTACTCAGGTCCTAGGCCCGTTCTGGAAAGACTGGGTTGGATGCACCTTTTCATGGTATCATGTGCTTCCCGTCAAAGCAATCATCAAACATTATCATTGTTGTTCATTCTGTTTTGTCTTCTCTACTAGATGCTAAGTTTCCAGATGCAGAGCTTTCACAAACTGCCAACCACAGTAACCTTAGAGTCCAGCAGAAGGCCTGGCCTAGAGAAGCTTGGTAAAAAATTATTTTATCCCCATTTCACAAAGGTAGAAATCACAGAAGTCAAAGAAGCTACATACAGGGCAGAAGAGGAACTCTTCCAACCATGTTTGATTTCAAGCCTGGTGCTCTCTCTCAGCTCCTGTTTTTTCAAAGCTATATACTTCCCTTTGGAAAACAAAAGGAAATTTACTTTTTATTTACGTTTCAACTCACTGATCCCTAAACCGCATAACCTTGACCATTACTGGATCAAATCCTACAATCCTTTCAGGTGATTCTTAGGAAGATGCCTCAACTTACTTTCTCTATGAGACTCACTCTCCCTATCTGGATCATCTTTGGCATAATTCACTTTCAAGCCATCTAAAATTCTCAGCAAAATACAAAATCATAGGCATCGATGATGCAAATTACTGCAAAGGAGACTGAAGCCCACTCTACCAAGCGGAATTCCAAATGCATATCAAAAATACTATACATTCTGGCCAGATGCGGTGGCTCACTCCTGTAATCCCAGCACTTTGGGAGAATGAAGCAGGCAGATTACCCGAGCCCAGGTGTTTGAGAGCACTCTGGCCAACAAGGCGAAACCCTGTCTCTACTAAATATACAAAAATTAGCCAGGTTTGGTCACAGGTGCCTGTAATCCCAGGCACTTGGGAGGCTGAGGCAGGAGAATTGCTTGAACCCAGGAGGTGGAGGTTGCAGTGAGCCGAGATCTGGCCACTGCATTCCAGCCTGGGCAACAGAGCTAGACTCCATCTCAAACAAACAAAAAATGCTACACATTCTGATCATGACAAAGCCAAGGAAAGTGGAGAAATTAGAACTTGGATCACATAAGAAAAGAAAAAGTCCTAGCACTGCTCATGAAGAAACTAGCAACATCAGAAAACAAATGCTTCAATAATTTATCCAAAACTTAAGCGGCAATGCACATATAAGCAACAAATCCAGAATGATCAACATGTTCTGGTACTAAACATTTGTATGCTCAGTTTGCTACATATGTATGCTAATTACGTGTGTACATTATATGGTGTATACTAATTATATTTTAATTCCTATTTCAGTGTCTGTTATTCTTTCTCACAGTAAAGTTTGTCAGCGCCAGCTTTTTTTTTTTTTCTTTCCTTTTTTTTGGTCCTCAACTGGAGCATCAATGAAGAAGCTAATAAAAAACACTTCTGTTTTCATTTTATTCTTCCATCAGTTTGAGGAAAATTAAATATGTATAGAGTGAATAGGAGCATATCTTTGTTATCAAGCATTATTGTTATGGGATTTACCTTAAAACAAAGTTGACTGAAGTAATTATTTACTTAGAAAGTAAATAGTATTGCAATGCAACTTGGCATTTCCTATATAAACTGCACTTAACGCAAATGCACCACCGTATCACCCACTGATCTAGGCAGGAGTCCACAGTGCAAAGCACATGCGTGACGTTTCGTCCCCTTCACATCCTTTCTGGTCTCTAAGTTTGCTATGTAGGTCTGTCTTTTGCTCTTGAAGAATCAGAACTAAAATGTGTCACTTCAAGCTTACCCTTCTCACCTCCAGCCCACAGTGCCCCTGCTCTCCCCGCCCCATTACACAGCACTTTTCCTGAAGAACAAGCAAGCTCTAGTGACGTACTTTGCTTTCTGCATTCCTTTCTGGCCAGGACTTGAACGATGCCCTCGCCGAGTGCCCAGGTACTCACGTTCTCTCAGAATCTAAGTCCACCTTACTTCCTGGGATGCTAATAACCAACATCCACTGGCTTTGATCTCCTTTGACCTGCTGTGTCCAGATCTCTCTATCCACACCAGACATACATGGAACTCCTACATACATGCAGCTGCCTGGGAAAAAGTGTTCTCTCCTTTCCTGTTTAGCGCACACATCAGTGGCACAGTCGAGTGAGTAACCAGAACACATGTTTAATCTGAAGCACTCTGTCCTCCTAACCTGCCTTCTTTATATCCTCCTTAGAAAACCAATTAACGTGGTCAAGCAGGTTATCTGAATTGCCTATATTACCTGCAGGTAGCAGATAATATTAAACCCCTCATCTCCATCTACCTTAGGTATTGTTATCTACTTTTTACAGAGCTTCTTAAGTCCAGGCAATACACCCTTTTCTTAAGATTCTACAGCAATACTACCAGGGCCCAAGACGCACTCACAACACTGAGGTTATCCACATTTCCTACTAGGGAGTTGGATTTGCGTTCCCCACCAGCTGAGTATCTTTGCCATCATTTTCTCCCCGGGCTCTTTAAGTTGATAGTTTTAAGCTGAGGTGCTCACATTCCTGTGCACTTTCTGCAACCCTGAGGGTTACCTGTGCTGTCTATTTCTCTATCAAGTCAGGACCTTCTACTCTGACAGCTACCTCAACTAGATATCTAAACGGAATAGACGCCAAGCTAGACGCAGAGCTGATGTGAAGTACCACTTTCTGTTAATTACCCGGCTCCCAGTCCACATTTCCAAACTTCCAGGCTCCTTCCCTGAGGCCGCTTGTGCAGAGGATTCCTTTCGTTCACTTCCTGGTGCTCGGTCCTCCTCTCCCAAATGCAGGTCCACTCACACTTTCTGGAAGTCACAGTTGAACCTACTTCACCTCATCTGGCTTAAGAATACACCAAACGGGTGACAGCACAGACCTCTGAAGCACGTCCTGTGGCCCTATTACCTCCGATGTCCTTAGCACCTTATTGCCTTCAGTATACACGAGCTCAGGAAGTCAAGTGGACTGACACGTGCTTCCTTCACTTTTCCCCTTAAAATGTTAGTGTTAATGGTACGCTTCTCAAATTTGCAGCAGTCCTGGGGTTTTTGATGGAATTGCGAGAGACAGGGCCTGACTTTCCACTCTTTAAAGAGAGTTCACCGATTTCCCTTAGGAGTTTCTCAAGACTCAAAAAAGGAAAAGAAAAAGAAGAAGGAAGGTAGAAAGCAACGTAGGTATCAACCATTTTTCTGGTACTCCTCAAACCCAAAACTATTACAGAGGGCATTAGGGATTCCCCTTGGCTACCAGGAGAAGCACCGCGAGACTGATTCCTGACAGGTGAGCACCAGAGACGAGGTGGAGTTTTGGTTACTAGTTTAGAGTTAACATCTGGATGCGGGGGCTAGTCTTCCCAACCATTGGAGGCAGCAGGAGGGAAGGAATAATGGGCCAATACAGAAAGAGCATAGATTAGGGTCCCAGATACCCAAAGCCTCCAGGCCTCTCCGTCTGTCGTCACCTGGAATGAATGGGCTGCAAAGCCTGCGCACTGGCGGTTGGGCCAGGTCCCCTCCCGCCGCGCGCCCCAGGTCGCCCGGACCGCACCTCCTTACCTTGCGGGAGTACGGGGGCTTGCTCAGGTGGATGCCGTCACGGACGAGCTTATCCCTGATCATGATCTTCAGCTTCAGTTTGGGGTAGCTCACCAGCTCCCTGCTGCGGGGGGCGGTCGTGTGGCCGCGGAATTCCCCGCGAGTGCCCTGGGCCGGGCCGCCGCGCGGCTCCCCTCCGCGGGTGGTGGGAACTGCGTCCGCGGGCGGCCCGAGGGGCGCCGGCTGCGGCTGCGGCTCGAGCGTGAAGTAGAGGCCGGCGGCGTTGGCGTCCTGCTCCCGCAGCCGGCGCACGGCCTCCAGGATGCGGCGGCGGTGCGCGGGCGCCAGCACCCCGATGGCGTCCAGGTCCGGGTCCCCGATCTGCTTGCACACCTCCAGGTCGTCGTAGCCATTATCCACGAAGGACTCCGCGTACTGCGGAAGCTGCAGCGCTTTGAGCCACTCGTAAACTATGTTGGTGCACATGGTGGGACCCGGAACCCCGCCGCCGAGCACCTTCCCAGCGCCCCAACGGCAAGGGCGGCACCAGTTCTGGGAACTTTTAATCCTCTCCTCCAAGGGGAAAAGGGTATCTCCGTAAAGTTTTCCTTTTAAAGGAAAGACTCGGGCCGGAGGCAGAAAACCATCAGAAGAAGCCTGAGGAAGGGAGAAGCGAAAAGCAGCAAAGTGAATTCCCCAAGCAGCGGCGGAGCTCGCAGGCACTGGCTGCTGAGCTGGGCGAGCCGCTCCGCTCCGCGCCGCCCCTGGATGCGCCGCCGCCTCTGCCGCGGGGAGGGGCGCGCGACCTGCACGGGAGGAGGCGGAGGCGGGAGGGCCGGGGCACACCCCTCGGACCCACGCCGGGTCAGCGCCGCGCAGCGCGGCCCGCGAGGTTTCCCAGCCGGAACCGTCCCGGGGCTGTGCGCCGCATCTCGCGCTCTGGCCGCCGCTCCGCGCTGCTAGGCGACTCCTCCGCGCAGACCCGCGCAGCGTCTCCGCGTGTCAGTCACTGTGGTCCTCCCAGCGGGAAGCCGGTGGCTTCTAGGCTGCCGGGCTCCGCTGGCTGCCCTGGGTTGGTTTTCACATTTCTCTTTAATCCGACTTTACCCGGTGGAAGTCTCCGCGCTCACTTCTTCCCGAGCCTGTAGGACTACCGCTTGCGCGCCCGCTGGCAGCCCAAGGACACGTTCCGCCGCCCCACCGCGCTGGGGACGCTGCGGGGTTCAGTGTCCCTTCCTTCCCGATCCGTGTCCGAATCCTTCTTCCTCGGAGCCCATAGGCAGCCCAGAGCCCGGCGATCTGGCTTCTTCGGTGGGCCGCCACTCAGTGACCCGAGTGGCGGCGCGTTGGCCCGGCGGGTGGGCGCGACGTGGGGGCCGCCCGAGTCCAGCCGGCGTGCGCGCCGCCCCTCCTCGCTGCAACTGGGCACGTTGAGCGGCGGGAGAGGCTGCTGTGCTGCTGGGCTCTCCCCTCCTAAGCTCCCGGGTCTGCGAAAGTTTGGGGTGGGTGGTACTTTGTCCTAGGTCGGTGTGTCCCACCCGGTCCCCCACCCTGCTTTCTGCCGGCTCCTCACCCTCGTCTGCGCTGCGCTTCCTCTCCGGGCCCCCCACCTTGTATACTGCACGGGCTCCCTGGGTGGCTCTGCCCCCGGGGACACTGCCAGGCCTTCAGTCCTGGAGCCCGGGAATCCGAGCCCATCTTCTCGCTCCCGACCCGGGATCGCGTGGAAATCAATAGAGCACCACCCAGCTCGCGTTGGAAGGGACGCTCAGACACCTCCGCCCACGGCATTTTTCCTCCAGGAGGTAACAAAATCAGTCGAGTTTCCCCATCATGCCAATGTCTGAGCAACCACTTGCGATTGGGGAATCCAGGTGGCAGGTGGATCAGACCAAGCGCCTCGGCCCCATTTCCCGGTGTCTGACCTCTTCTTGGGACTAAGGGAAGGGAAGGACCGTGGGAGCAAGTACTGTCTCCCCTCTTTCCGCAGAAGGGCGATTCAGCTTCCCACCTGAGCTGTTTAAGGACCCGATCTGATCCTTTTTCTGAAGATTCTTCTTGGGGCGTGCCAGTCTCTCGCCCGACCTTGGGAGGTGGACAAGGAGTGACTTCAGAGTGGTTTCCCGATCTGCTGTATGTTTGGCCTTTGGGTGGGTGGTTGGGTGGGCCCTCTTTCTCTAAACCAAGAGAACTTAACCCCCTCTTGGGACACGAACCCCTTAAAGAATCAGATGACAGCTTCAGTCCTTTTGCCCAAGAAAATACCCGACATAGGCGCACCCAAAACGTTCCCTACAGCTGGGGCGGGCGGGGGGTCTGGTTTCCCAAACCCCGGGACTCACGAATCTCAAAATAAGAACAGCTGGCAGAAAGAACCGTCTGCTCAGGGGGAGGGGAGAGATCAACTTGAAGAGCCGTGGAGCTGCGAGTGGCCTCAGCCTGGGGTCACCCAAGCCGCCGTGGTAGGTGGCGAAGTTCCTGGGTACCAGGATGCTGGAAGCGCGCAGCCCTCCCCGCCCTGCACGAGTTGCTGCCTCTCCCTCGCCAAAGCGGAATCACAGTGCCCCCTCGCGTCCGCGCGGCCCCATTTTAAGGCGTTGTCCCTGTCCTCCAAACTCATTCTATTCAGCAGAAAGCAGTGGGCTTTACGGTTTTATACTAGTTCCCCTTTTAAGTACAAATGTTTTATCACGTTTATCTTTATATCCCAGTACTATCTCACAAGGATCTTTGATTTTTTTAAAAGAAAATATTCCAGCAGTTTGAATGATGCTGCTAAGAAACAGAAATTATCAGCAAATATTTACTGGGAAATTACTTTATGTCAGGCATCTATTCACACATCTGTATACATACGGTAAGTAGTAGTATTATCCCACATCTTACAGAAGAAGAAATTGACACATCAAAACTAATTTGCCCACGATCTCACTGTTCCCAATGGAACAAGGGTTTAGAATTCTGGGGGGGATACATTTAGCATCAGCCTTCAGCCTTTCAACTACTGTGCAACATGAAAAAAATGGGCAGATTGTAGGAGGTGAGGTTTTGTTTGTTGTTTGTTTGTTTTGGAGTTTTTTGTTTTTGGACTGAAACACTTAAAGCTCAGGATTTTTATTTTATTTTATTTTATTTTATTTTATTTTTTTTATTTATTTTTTTTTTTTAAAAACAATCTCACTCTGTCACCCAGGCTGGAGTGTAATGGGGCCAACTAGGCTCACTGCAGCCTCTGTCTGCCGGGTTCAAGCGATTTTCCTGCTTCAGCCTCCCCAGTAGCTGGGACTACTGATGCCCGCCACCACGCCTGGCTAATTTTTGTATTTTTAGTAGAGACGGGGTTTCGTCATGTTAGCTGGGCTGGTCTGGAACTCCTGACCTCAGGTGATCTGCCCACATCAGCCTCCCGAAGTGCTGGGATGACAGGCATGAACGGATTACAGGCATGAACCACCTGGCCCAGCCCAAAGCTCAAGAATTTTATTGTGTGTTTTTCTTTCCCAAGTTGTATGAAAATTCCAACAGCACTATTCTGTAGTTTTTTGCCTTCTTGTATATGGCCTTTTCCCCTCTGGGGGCTTAAGAACATTCATCTTGTCTTACTAATCCTCAGTGAAGGCAGAATACTCAGAGTATTTTTATTTCCATCTTACCACTAGGGATACTGATTGGGGGAAGATGAACGACTTGCCCAAGGTCATACAGTAAATCAGGACACAGACAAGAACAAGCTTGCCCTGTCAAAGTGCTTCCCTGACAGGCAGTGGCAATTCTCCTTTATTTATGTGCAAAGCAGTTTCCAATTAGGAAATAAAGCATCCTGGTGCTCTCTTTGGAAGGGAAGCCTTTAATAAAGTAATCACTTGTTAATCAGTTATAAATAACACATACTTACTTTTGACCTCTAGAGGAAACCTGCTATCTGGAGATTTCACTAGTCTGAGCTATACAGACATTTTTTTTTTTTTTCCCAGATTTCCCTTCTATTTCTCATGTATACTTCTACACTTACTCGGGTCCTGTTTGGGTGAACCATTGAGGTTTGTGTTCCACGCTTGCTTTATCATACTGCACCTCTTTTTTTTTTTTTTTTTTTTTTTTTTTTTTGAGGCGGAGTTTCGCTCTTGTTACCCAGGCTGGAGTGCAATGGCGCGATCTCGGCTCATCGCAACCTCCGCCTCCTGGGTTCAGGCAATTCTCCTGCCTCAGCCTCCTGAGTAGCTGGGATTACAGGCACGTGCCACCACGCCCAGCTAATTTTTTGTATTTTTAGTAGAGACGGGGTATCCCATGTTGACCAGGATGGTCTCGATCTGTTGACCTCGTGATCCACCCGCCTCGGCTTCCCAAAGTGCTGGGATTACAGGCTTGAGCCACCGCGCCCGGCCCGTACTGAACCTCTTAATAGATTTCGTTCTAGAAGCTGCTATGCTAAATTTGTCTATCTCCTGTGGAGACTAATGGCTAAAGTTCTAAGTGACTCTGGCAAGAATAATTGGTGGCAGCCTTTTAGAACTAGAAGACCACTGGAGATCTTCTACGGCATCCAGATTTACAAGGAGGAAGCCAAGGCTCAGAGAGGTCAAGTTCCTTACCTAAAGCGACACAGCTAGTTCCTGACAGAATTGGGTCGAGAACTCTCACATTGCTCTTTGCAAGGTACTGCATTACCTCATTTTTGCTGCAAGTCCTTGGCTACTGTCAAAATCATTCATTTACTCATCAAATGTTTATTAAGTAAGCACTTCAGTGTCAGGCAGTGAAGCAAAAAAAGAAGAGTTTTTCTTCATTAATTGGAACTGGAGAGACTTCAGCATTTTAAATAGGTAGAGAATAAACTGATCGGTTTTTCTATATGTTCATGAATTATAAAGATTGCAAAGATACGAAGCAATGTTTCTTCTATCTGTAATATTATCCAAATTCTGTGATAATATTAGCCAGAATTTCAAATTCAATTATATTTGAAATCCAGATAAAAATGTACTTGAAAAACACAAGTGGCTTCTCTGCTTCCAGTTGCAGGCTTAGAACACACAATTTACTCAAAATACATTGTTACCTTGTCGACTATCTCTCATTTTGTGTCACTTTTGAGTGGTATTGCTTTGTTAGAGTTTTTTTCTTTATACAAATTTTTTCAAAATATTTATCCTGTTTATTATTATTTATTACGTTTGGGGGCCACACTTAATTTTGCAGGGGGATGACTTGCCTAGTGAAAATCAATGGAATAATAGGTTATGGAGGAAGTTTCTTTTTAGGCACCATTTTAGAACTGTTTTGCAATGGTAATCACTATGGCAAAATGCCTGTTGATCCTCTCCATGTAATTAATTAATGATAATTATATTCAGGTTTTAAATTCTAAATATGAGAAAACAACTTTTCTACTTCACTCAGTAACTCGATTTAAGGATATAGAGTGAAAAATAACTTGTTATGGAATTTTCTTGGTGCCGCTTAAGGTTTCAGACTATTTTAGAAGATAAATGTTCACACCTAGTGCATGTAAAAATTAAATTCCATTAACATCTATTAAATGTCAGTCCCTAGGGTGTCTAGCCTTGTAAAAGTCAAAGATATATAATATTAATCTCAAAATGCAAAATATGTCTTGCCTCTGCTTAAACCATGAGCTAAAAAGCATCCAGAAGGAGTAGATGCCATAGGGAGAAATGAGAATAATGGGCTTGAGTGATGTAACAGGCAATCTCTTCCCCGGTGGCTGGGAGCGAGGTGCTCGGTTGGCAACTTAATTGGGGGCAGGCAGGGTGGGGGGTGTCTGTTAATATGTCTGAGCTGTATACATTAGACTTGTGTGTGACAACACACATGTGAAAGAAGAAAAGACAAGGAGCAGTGGGGAGTGCCAGCAGGATTCATTAGATTATTCATTGCTATTATAACAGGCCTTTCTTTCTTTAAAGCAGGAACAAAGGGGAGGAAGGGCCTGTTCAGGAAGTCATCCACTTCGAGGTCACTAACAGAAAGAGAGCCAAGCTACAGGCTAGGTTTGCAATAGAAAATAAAACAAGATTCATTTTTCAAAAATTGTATTCTCTCGTCTTTGGTAATCCCCGAAAGTTCTATATTTTAAAATGCACTCCAGAAGAGGAGGAAAGGGTTAATCTAGTGTCTCCTGAGGTAAAAATGATAGGTGCAGTATTTTGTTAATTAACAATGGGCAGCTTTTAGGAGTACTTTTTATTTTTTCATTCTACATCACAAAGCTATTATAATTTAACACCTAAATGTTAGGTTATATAACCCCATACAAGTGAAATTATGTTGGTCAGTGCTATTTCAGACAAGTACAAATCATGTATATAATCACAACGATGAAATCACTCAAGTTATGACCAGTGCAAATTGACTAAACAACAGTTTTCCATCTGACAGTTTCTCCCCATTCTGGAGTTAGGACGAGCGATCTCACAGAGCCTACTTCCTAAGACCTGCATGGCTACTGATGATGGAGAGGTGGTTGGTTTTCTTTCTTTAGGCAACATAATTTTATGTAT